GACTCGATGGACATGAGTTTGAGTAAACTCCGGGAGTTGGTGATGGACAGGGAGGCCCGGCGTGCTGCGGTTCATGGGGTCGCAAAGAGTCGGACATGACGGAGCGACTGAACTGAGCTGAGAGGTTAAGAGGGCCGTGAGTGTGTGACTGACGGGTGTGGAAGGAGGTGCGTGGGGGCAGGAGCCCAGGATGGCGCCATGCCCTGCTCGCGTCAGCAGGTGCCAGGTTCTGCTCACCCGGACAGGTCAGGAGGGCCGCTGGCTGAGGGTTGGGGCCGGGGGTGATGGTTTTCTCTTTGGTAGATGCAGTTTGAGGTATGTTTGGGCACTTACCGGGGGCGTGTAAATACTCTGGACTGGCACTCAGGAGAAAATGGGGTAGGAGACAGGCTTGGAGACAGAAATATTGCTGGGAGAGTATTTGGAGAAGAAATGGAAGGAGAGTGGAACCCTGGAGAAAACACTTACAGGCCCTGGTGAGGGGAGATGAGGCTGGGGTGGTGACATCACTCCTGGGGGAGCGAAATCAAGGTGCCAGTAGCTCTGTTTACTGTATAGATACTAGGGGTTTGTAATTAAATGAAAATGTGTTTATTGTTTATAAGGCGTATAAACAAGTTTTGTTGACTTGACATTGTACAGATACAACCTGACAGATGCTGTCAGTAGTCAGTAAAGCCAGAGCTTGGCGGTGACATCCCACTGGCTCAGTCACGCCTCTGCCCTGGGCCAGGCTCACTGCCGGAGCATCGGGGGGCGCCGGTGATGACTCATCTGTAAAGCTGGCGCGTGTCATGCACAAGTGGGGCTCAGTGCTGTCCTGCCTTCCTCACAGGTCTGCACAGATGAAGAGTGAAGCGGACACGTCTGGGGCCTGGCAGAGTGCCTGTACTCGGAGAGTCCCTGCGATCACTACTGTATGTAACGTTTCCACGAAGACCGCGCCGAGGAGCGGTGTTGGCCCCTCTGACCCTCCGAGCCGGCCGGCTGCCCGGTGACGGGCGTCTGCCTCCTGCTGCTCCCGTCCACGGCCCGGGGCCCCCTGAGAGCTGGCGCCCGCCTCCTGCTGCTCCCGTCCGCGGCCCGGGGCCCCCCAAGAGCTGGCGCCCACGAGGCAGAGGAGCTGCGTGCCAAGTGCCGTTACTACTGTATACGGACCCCCGCCTCCGTGCCCGCTGGGTCCTGGCTGATGGAGGACCGTGGCATCAGTGTGATACCGTCGACCTTTCTAGGTGCAGAAGCATTTGCAGTGTTAGCAGGCATCCCGGGCCGCATTGTTAATCTCCTGTCTTCTCGAGTGCACTGACTGAACCCTTGCCTTTTCTGTTGTTGTTGGCAAGCCACATGTTTGTTCTGCAAAAGGCCGATTAATGAAATTTTAAGAAAAAAGGTTCTTTTTTCAATAAATGGTTTATTTTAGGAAAGCTCGTATATTGTCTCTCAGTGGTTATCAGCTACCAAGCCAACACGTTATCCGTAAAGAGGTCTACCCTTGTCTCTGCTATGTCCGTCAACAGAAGGGGCGCCGTCAGGCCTCAGGATCTAGTCTCCTCGCCACGGAGCGGAGAGAAATGAAACACGAAGGACGTCGGAGGCCCTTTCAAGTCTTTGGATGTTAACTGCAAGTTCAGAGTAGATACAAGTTCAAGCCTTGTTATCACATTTTGGGCGCTCAGTTTTATTTTTAAATCAAGATGTATAGGTGCCGGGTCAGTGTAAATACTGCTGAATAATATCTTGACAAGAAAGCGTCTTTTTACAGAATGTAAATATTTTAGCAGTTAGTTTTCTAAAATAGCCCAAACTATCTGTTGTTGATGGTGTTCTTTTATTTCTTTTTTCTATTAAATTTTTTTAAAAGATTGACCTTAAAGCTTCCTGAAATCTTTTTAGAGGATATCTGAAGCACTCCTGACACGTAGCAGCTGACTCTGGGCAAGTGCTGGCTCAGGCACGTTCTGTCTGTGTTCACCTTCCCTCCAGGGCACTGATCCCCTCAGCACAGAAATTAATGTCCCTGAGAAAGTTGGCATAACAGAAGCATTTGTAATGTCATTTCTTTAAAATGACTCTCGGAGGGATGATTTATGTAACATTTACAGCGTACAGTGCAGTGATTTTTAGCACAGGTATGCAGTTGTACGGCCATCGTTATAGTCCAGCTTAGAATAATCCCCTCTCTCCAGAAGGACGCTCATGTTCGTCTGCAGTCAGTCGTCCCTATAATCCCCTCTCTCCAGAAGGACGCTCATGTTCGTCTGCAGTCAGTCGTCCCTCAGCCTTAGGCAGCCGCTGGACCATCTGCTGGCTCTGTAGATTCACCTGCTCTAGACACTGAGTATGAGTGGAGCTTTAGACTGCGCTCTTGCATGTCTGGCCTGTCACTTAGCGTGATTCCAAGGTTTGTGCATGTGGTAGCATGTGTTAATTACGCCATTCCTTTTTATTGCTGAGTCTCGTTCCGTTGCATGGATATACCACGTGGTTTATTTGTTCATTGACTGCTTTCACTTTTGGGATGCAAAGAATGAGGCTGCACCAAACGTTTGTGTCCAGGTCTTTGTGTGGCTCTGTGTTTTCATTTCTCTTGAGAGTGGAACTGCTGGCTCATAGGGTAAGTAAATCCATGTTCAGTTTTTTAACAAACCGTCAAACCGCCAAAGTGGCTGCTGCGTTGAGTTACATTCCCAACCAGCAACACAGAAGGTTCTAGCTTTTCCCAACCCTCGCCAACACGTGACACTGGCTTTTATAGTAGCCATCCAAGTATATGTCAAGTGGGGTCTCATTATGGTTTCTCAGTGTGGTTCTGATCTGCATTTCTCTGACCGCGGTGAGCATTTCTTGTGTGTGTTGGCTATTCATCTGTCTTCTTTAGTGGTCCATGTGAATTTTTTGCCCATTTTTGTATCGGGTTACTTGTCTTCTTACTAAGTTGTGAGAGATGTTTATACATTCTGGATACAGTCAAATACCAGATATTTGATTTGCCAGTGTTTTTTTTCCCCACAGTCTGTGGCTTGTCTCTTCACATTTTAATGGCTTCTTTTGAAGTACAGAAGTCTTAAATTTTAAAGTCTGGCTTACAGGCTGCTGCTTTATTGCATGTGCTCTTGATATGATGACTTGACTCAAGGTCATGAAGTATTTATACCTATATTTTGCTCTAAGAGTTGTATAGTTTTAGCTCTCATTTAGCTCTGTCATCTGTTTCTAATGTTTATGTATCATATCAGATAAAGGTCCAAGTTCACCCTTCTGCATGTCAATATTTATTAGACCTTGCATTCACTTCTTAAAAAGACGTTTTTCTCTGTTGAATTGTTTTGGCATCCTTGTTGACATCAGTGGAACACAGATCTGGGGGTTTATCTCTGCACTCTGTTCTGTTGCGTTGATCTGCACAGCTGTCTTCTGTAGAACCCCACTGTCTGGAGTGATGTGGCTTTGCAAAGGAAGCTTTGGAGCTGGGAGTGTGAGCCCTTCAGCTTTGCTCTGCTTCCTCAAGATTGTCTTGGTTATTCTGGGTCGTTTGTGTTTCCCTAAGAATTTCAGGGTCAGCTTATGAAGCTGTGTCTCCACCCGCCGCCCCCCACCCCCACCCCAGCCCAGCCCCCACCAGAAAACAGATCTGCTTTGGTGAGAATCATGTTCTTGTCATGATTTTGACCTTAGCTGGCAGCAGTCATTCTTTTAATTTATGGTGTTTCTTACGGGCTTTTCATAAATGCCATGTATGAGGCAGAAGACATTCCCTTGTTTTCTGTTGAGTTTCTATCATGACTAGAGGTTTGACTTTGCCATGTTCTTTCTGCCTCTACTGAGATGATCAGATGGTTTTGGTGATGGAAACTCCTATGCTGTTTGGACTGCCTCACCCTCCCTGCAGCCCCACAGCCTCTTAAGTACCCAGCGTCATCCTGACTTAGTGTGAAAGGGTCGCCAGCCCTCTGTTCTGGGGCGGACCTCTAGTCACATGCTCCAGCGACCTGCCATCTCATCACCCCACTTGCTCGCTTCTTGGGTCAACTATTACAAATTTCAGAAGCACAGTTCTTTCCATACCTTGGGCGATTTTTTTTTTCTTGGTCCATTCAGATCATTCCTGTTTTGAGTGACTTCCTCACACATGTGCAGCCTTAGTGGTTTCTGACCCACCTTCTGAACAGATTGTTTTTCAGCATCCCAAACTTTGTATTCATACCACTTACTTCATTAAAACTCAAGGGAACATAGATGCTAGAAATTTCAAAACTCTCTAGTCACTCCAACATGTGAAACGGGACTGTGTAAAAAAACTAATAAAGGTAAAAATTGTACAAGTCTTTCTCAGTGAAAAGCTTCACCAACAGTCCTAGGAGATATTTTCTAGATACTGAAAAGGTCTAAGTAAGTGCTTATTATTATTTTTTAATTAATGCATTACCCTAATATTAAAATAGGACAAGGCTGCAGGGACTGGGGAATGCCTTATTTGTAGCTAGTTATCCTTTACTGGAGAAACCCTTTGCTTTTTTTCCTGCTGATAACTGAACTTCACAGTGGTGACCAATTTCACTTTGGCCTCACTGTGCTCGAGAAAGGTTTCTATTTTTACTTTAGTAAAAGGCGTCAAAAGAAGACAATTGAAATTTAGTTATTAAAGCCTCTAAATCCGTGTCCCTTCATGACTGACTGCTCTCCGTGACACTGTCCGGGGGGGTGGGTACGGAGGTGGCAGGACCGGCCTGCCCCCTGCAGAGGTGACACCACCCTAGCTGTCGAGGGGAAGTTGTGTATTCTGCTGTTCCTGCCCAGAAGAGGGGTCATCTCCAGCAGCCAAGCATCGGAAACAGACGCCAGGTGGCAGCAGGTGCTGTGAGTGGGTCTCAGCTCTCCCAGGTCTAGAGATCCAGGACTGTGCACTGAGCCGTTCTTGGGGGATGCCCGGTGGGACAGGAAGCCCAGGGGTGTCTGCAGCGCTCAGTCTCCGCCTAACGTGGTCGGAAGCTCTGAGACACTCACGCCAGGGACGTAGGAGCCTGAGACGCAGCCTCGGAGCTCGGGACGCCTGCTTGTGCGTTGTCGCCGGTTCCGCGCTGCGGCTCAGGTGACTGGCTGAGAGCCGAAACCCCGGCCTTCTGTGCAGGGTGGGAGTCGTCTTGAGGGCAGAGGGACCAGCTCCTGGAGGCAGGGCCCCGAGTCAGGGAACACGAGCATCTCAGCTGCTTCATCTGATGCTCTGGAAACAGCAGGAGGGGCTGCATGGTTAAGGTATTGGAAACACAGCTGCTGAAGGAGGTGATGCTAACGCGGAACAGGTCAGCCTGAGTGACCGGCACGCAGTCAGCTGGACAGTCACGCTGGTGGCCGCCCTCCTGAGCAGCTCCGGCGCAGGTGGGGAGGTTGGCAGCAGCGGTTGCAGGCGGAACCATGGCCCCCGCGGACTTCCCCTGTGGCCCCAGAGGATGCGCTCCTCCCACTCCGACCTGGCAGCGCGTTGGACAAACGCTGGACGGAACCTCCTCTTGGTGGCGGGGGACGGGTGCTTCCAGTCTGCCTTCCCACGTCCGTCCACCATTACGAGTGAGTTCTTAAAGCCTCCGAAGCCTCGTCTGGCTTGGGGACCAGCCAGGACACTGCTCACTTCTCCAGGAGGAAAACCAGAAGCCGTCCGGGCCCCGTCTGTGTCTGTCACAGCTGTTTCTACATTCCAGCTGGACAGGTGCTGAATTGTACATCTAAATTGCTGTCTTTCAGATCCGTTTAGGGTCTATTAGAAAAGCACATCTAAAAATCTTTAAACATCTGTAGCTGCTTTTACTCAGCTCTCTTTAGAGAATGATATTCCAGTAATGCCATGTGATCCTACGAATAAAGCAAACTGTGTTTTCTCTACGAACAGTAAAGAGGTAGTCGGCCAGCTCAGAACATGCATCTGCGCTTTCTCCACGTCAGTCACAGAAAATGGTCCACTTCCCTTAAACCCATCTCACATGGTTGGTGGTTTTTAAATCCCTTGGTGGGCTGGGTTTCCTGGAAGAAGTGCATTCAGCGCCCCCTGCCTCAAAGCTGCAGGCCTAGGACGCGGCTCCTAACACCCGGGAGGACCCTGCTCCGACCATGCAGCAAACTTGGCATTTTCTCTTCCACGCTGGTCTCTGAGCAAGGCCGACCTCATCCGCCATGGAGACGTCAGACGGGATGTGATGCTTGCACTCCGTCTTCCGCTGCTCGGGGACAGAGGGGCGGCTTCACGCCCTGGGAACCAGCACCGCTCCCTGCTGAAGAGGCCGTGGCACTTATGAGACCCTGAAAGCGGGTTAAGGGACTGGGGAAGGGGTGACGCGTCTCTCCGTGGCTGTCTCTGCCATCTCGGGACGGGTGAGGAGCAACGGCCAGGTAGGTCCCCGTCCTGCCAGACAGAATGTTGTCTCACGGAAGAGTGAACCTGTGAAACGCTGGTCAGGGTCCCTGCCGGCTCCCCACACTCTGGTCCTAAGGCACTGTTAGCAGGAGCGCCGTCAGTCCTTCCCGGGAGAACGTCCTGCCCGCCCTCCCCTAACAGGGACCCTCAGATCTGCGCGGTCAGCAGAACTGTTCGTTTGCTCGTCGCTTTGTGTTTGGTCCCAGAGACAAGTTTAGAAGAACGTTGAGGGCCTGTGGGTCCCTTTCACGTCCCAGGCAGAAGGTGTGGGTGAATGCTATTAGGGCTCAGGTTACTGCTGCTGAATGGGAAGATGACAGGAAAACGACGCGTTTTTAGACACCCCAAGGTCATTTAATTTCTCAACATTTTGTTGAGACACAGCAGCATGGAGGCAACTTTCCAATTGTTCTAATCCTTCTTTGTCTAATGCTGTGGGGTTCTTAACGTGTGCTCACATGTACGGCCTCGTTTCACCCTTGAGACGACCCAAGAGGTGGGTGTTATCACCTCCATTTGCCAGTTGGAAAAACAGGGTCTTGGAGCAAATGAGCTGCAGGGTTTGAGCTGTGCCGATGCTCCTGACGGCTCTCCTGTCTCCCAGGGCGCTCGGAGGGCCCCATCCAGGTGGGGGTGACAGGTGCACACCCGAGCATCTCTGCCCCAGGGAGGCTGCACCACCGCTCCCGGCCTGATGCAGGGCGGGAAAGGCACCGGGGTCTCCTGCCCCACCCTCGGGGACACCAGGAAGTCAACCCAGGTGGGGGCCTCACGGCCCCTCCCTTCCCACAAGCACACCAGAGTGTCCCCTTGTCACCCCTGCGGTCCTGTCTCAGCGCTGCCCCATCCTCCCTTCAGCAGGAAGCTCCTCTTAACCCCTCCCACGACGTCACTTGTGCCGGGTGAGCGCTCCGTGACTTAAGAGCGACCTAGGACGTGACTCAGAACAGAATGAGCCTTTACACAGTCTCTGGCCACCGTCTATCTGGGACAGCTCGTCCCGTTACAGAGCTTCAGCAGAGCAGCACTAAGGGCCGGGCGGCATGGAGCGGCCCTTCCCCTGCTCCGTGCACGGACCCGGGAGATCCGGCGCGCGCGGCGGCGTCTCAGCCTGAGGTCACGTAGCGTCCGGTCTCCCATCGTCCTCCTCTGGAAATACTGCTGCTTTTCTTCGCTCTTCTTTTGCACCTGGCGTCTGACGGCTGGCCGCAGTTTGCCAGAGCCCTGTCCGTGGACTGTCACTCCAAACGTGGCCATAGATGCCATGGCGCGGAGCTCCTCCGAGTCAGGGGAGTCTGCGCTTCCAGAAGGAAGGTGGAAGCGGGGGGGACCGGGGACCTGTGTCCGCTCAGTCCGAGCCTGCGCAGAGGGGCACCTGGGCTCCTGTGTACGGCCCTCCAGTAAAAGTGAGCCTGCACTGGTTTGGGGGGCCCAATTTCTGCTTGCTACGGGTGTAAACAGAGGCCAGGCCTTCATCTCAGTGTTCAAGACGAGTCTGCTCCTCGAGGAGGGTCTTCAGGGAGTGGGCGCATCGTCATGATTCAGGCTGGACAGACTCCACCGCAGGGCGGCCGGGGGAACCGGGGCATGCGTGCCCGGCTAGCTTCCTGGCACCTGCAGTCTCCACACAGAGTCTCACAGGCTCCCGCCGCCGGGAACCACCTCCTCCAGCCACCTGGCCTGCCCCTGCACCCTGCCCCCAGCCCCCAGCTCCCTCCTCGGGAGCGCTGTGTGGTCCGGAACTCCAAAGTGCAGGAAGAGGGTCTGAAGAGAAAGAGAGAGGCGCTGTGTGCACACACCAGAGAGAAGCCAAACACTTTAATTTTTTGGTTTTTTTGGGGGGAGGCATAATTTAGTCATCTTACCAAAGTGTCTTTCACTCTGTAGCGAGCCAGGGTTAACAGAAAACTCAGCACCAAAGGATGGCAGGGAGCCCCCCACCCTCCGAGGTCCCCATTTCTGCCCTCCCCCCCGCACCTCAGATACCCTCGGAATGAGCCCACTCAGCACACCTCACTCTCACGTATGTTCTTAACACACACGTACACGCACTCACACAGACACACACGGAAAGAACGAGACCCGAAGCCCACTAAAGCGTGCGGGGGAAAGATGGAAGGACATCCTCCCCCCGACCTGACGCTGAGACCGCAGCCCCTGCCTCCTCGGCAGGGGCTCCCCCAGCTTCGTCACTGGGTCCCGCCCAGGGTGACGGCGGCGTCCACCAGTCCCCCCAAGGTCCCCTTCGGGTGGTGACATGTCCCGGGTCAGTCGCTGTGTTTCTGCTTGCTGTCCATGTTGCCATAGGCAGAGCCCTTGTCAATTTCCGTGACGCCGATCATCCATCGGACCCCCATGGAAGCTGCGGAAACAGGAAGGGCAGGTCAGAGGCCTGTGGGGACTCCGGTGGGCCCTGCCTGACGGAATAAAGGTGGGGAGCTCTGTGAATCTTAAGCATCAGCTGAGAGCTGGCTGACCCCGGGTGCTTTTCACCATCCCCGCCTCACAGTTACCCTTGAGCATGGGGCCGGGGTTCTAACTGGGCTAAGTAAGACACGTTAAAAGAGAGCAAGACAGTTCTGTGTGTTGAGTTTCAATCCTTGGACAGTGGAGCTGAGCAGACTGGTGAGCTGTAGCTTCCGGTGCCCATCCCTACAAACAGGGTTCTTTTGTGAATGCAGTGCAACTTACAGGCACCCTTCAGCAAAGCGTAAGGACTTACCTGGACAGTGCAGGGGCTCAAATAGCTATTTTAGTTCCCAGCATGTCTCAACACAGCTTCTGGTGCGAGTTTCAGAGCAGCGGACAAGCCGCGTCCCTGCCTGCCTTTTCTCCGACAGCGGGATTTGGCCCAAAGAGATAAAAAGTGTAGGATGCAGGCGAGAGCCCAGTTTAACCACCAAGAGGCTAGAAAACAGGATACGGAGGCAGGAGCTGCGGTTTACGCACTCCCTCCAGAGAGGACAGACGCGGTGGGCTCCTTGGGTGCGGAGACCACGTCTACCTCAATCCCCTTGATGAGCCTGGCACCCATTACAGCCTGACAGCACAGTCCATTTGCAGTAGGCGTGTAAAAGTGGATGGAGGGGGAGTGGCTGAAACCTCAGTTTCCAGAGCCTCAGCATCCTGTCTGTGAACTGTCACACCAGGGACCCGATGGCGACAGGGGCCCACCCAGCCTACGAGGCTCACGGAGTCCGTGGGCCCGTTAAAACGGGCTGCCTTCAGCCTGGGGCCAGCTCCGAACACCAGCCCCCCGCCCCAGTATTAGAACTTTGTGCTGCAGAGTTGATGGCGCCGTGGAGCGAGCCCGACTCCAGCGGTGAAAGGCTTTGTGAGAGGACCAAGACACAGTGATCCAGGGAAGGGGGAAGCGAGGCGCGGGCTCAGGGGTGATGAGGCCTTGGGGAGACGGTAGTCGGTTCCTCCAAAGCTGCAGGAGGTGCCCGTGTCTCCAGCCGTCACCTGCGGGGAACCCCAGCCTCCTCCAGAGGGCGCTGCCTTCCTGCTGCTGCTGCGCAAGGCGGGATCCATCCCCTCTGCCGGGCCCTGGAGACCAGAGCCCCCCTGGACACACGGCCGGCCGATCTGCACCCGGCCTGTGTAGCGGGAACTGACCGCCCCCGCCGTCAAAAAGCAGCAGTATCCAGGGAAGCATGGGCCGTGGAGAAACAACAGTCCTTTCAAACGATGCCTGGGTCACAGCCCATAGTGATGAGTCAAAGAACTGAGCTGACCACCGTCTCCACGCAGCAGCCAGCCGAGAAGTGCCCACGCTGACTTCCCCCAAAAAGGTCCAGACCTGCTCTGAATGGCAAAGAGCCTTTGCTGCTTCCAGCTGGGACCCAGGAAATGGTTTTCTTGCAGGTGAGGAGGAAGCGATTGTGACAAGAGCCCTCCGCAGCGGCCGGGAGCTGTCTCCGGAGGGGTTGGCCCCCCGTGTGCACAGGGCCCCGTGCACGCACCGGGAGGGTGCGAGGCGGTCCTCCAGCCCCGGGATTCAGGACTCCGATCGGGGTGCTCCCCTCCTCCAGGGCCTCGTCCTCCCCCACCCCCAGAGGCTCCCACCTGCCCCAGGCCCCGCCGGCCCGGACTCACCCACGAAGAAGACGAGGACGAAGCTGGCGAGCGTCAGGGAGGAGCCGCTGCTGACCATGTTGACGACAAAGCGGAAGAAGGGGTAGAGGAGCAGCGAGGCCCAGAAGAGCCAGTTGACGAGCGTCCAGGGCCGCCGCGGGGGCACCACGGGTGTCTCGGGGAAGGTGCCCGTGCGGGAGTACTCCTCCTGGAAGGCATCCTGCGGGAACAGGGCTGCTGACCGCCTGCTGCCCGGCCACCCCAACCCAGGCCCGCTGGGTCCCACCCTCCCCAGCCCAGTCGAGGCCACGGGAGTCTCCCCAGCTCGACCAAGATACCCTAACAGCATCCCGGGGCCGACAGGGCGCTCGCCCAGCAAAGCGCATCGGTGGGCCAGACTGCTGGCTCACCCATCGCGGCTCGGTTCTCCAGGGAGTCGAGTTTTCTGGAGAAATGAGCTCCCATGCACCCGAACCCTCTACCTTAAGTGCTGAATTTTGATGCTAAACCAAAATTAAATGCTACACTTTTATCCACTTGAGAAAGAGATGTCTAAAGTCAGCCACACTCGTCTTCTTTCCCAACCAAGCTGTACCAGAAGATGCCACTTTCCGGCCTCCCAAGGTCGTGATAAAAATGAATCCTCAGATGGGCCGCTTTGGAAGGAGCGCCTCTGGCCCTTCTCGGGCAGTTCAGGGACTCTGCACGGTGGCTCCTTCCCACCCCCCAAACCCTTGCCCCTCCTCAACTCCCCTCCTGGGTCTCCTGGAGGGTGGGGGGACGTCAAGAGGGTCTCAAGAAAAGCACGTGATCAAGCAGTTGTAAACAGACAACGGACCGTGTGCGGAGTGTCCCACCCTCAAGAGGTAAAGGCGGGCTTCCCCGGTGGCACAGCGGATGGGGCCTCCCTGCCAACGCAGGGGACATGGATTTGACCCCTCCGGCCTGGGAAGATGCCACAGGCCACGGAGCAACCGAGCCCGCGTGCAGCTGCTCCTGAAGCCCATGCACCCTAAGGCCCCTGCCCCACAGGAGGGACCACCGCAATGAGAAGCCCACGCACAGTGAAGAGCAGCCCTCCTGCTGCAGCAGCAAGAGAGGCGTGTGCAGCTGCACAGCAGGGGAGAGCCAGCACAAACCAACCAAAGAGAGAGGAGGTGAGGCAGCCACAGCCGGTCCGCCAAGCGGAGGGCTTCCTTGGAAGTGACAGTGGCGTGTGGATGCCCCGCAAGATGGTACCTAACTTGCCAATGCCTCCCGTCCCACTTCCTGCCAGAACTTGGGTGATTTTTCTCATCCCGGTGAAGCCTGGTAACAAGGGTGCAGTGGACTGGAAGTTTGCGCCTGCCTCTCTGAATTCCTATGCTGAAATCTTAACCCCAAAGATGAAGGTATGAGAAGCAGGGACCTTGGGGGTGTTATAGGTCATGAAAGTGGAGTCCCCACGAATGTGGTTAGCACCCTTATGAAAGGGATGCCCGGAGAGCCGTCTCGCCCCTCGACCATAAGGACGCAGCATCCTGGACGACGGCTGTGACCAGAATCCAACCTTGCTGGCACCCTCATCCTGAACTCCTCAACATCCAACATCCAGAACTGTGGGGAAGAAGTTTCTGCTATTTATAAGCCACCCAGCCTGTAGCACTTTGTTTTAGAAGCCTGACTGGACTAAGACAGGAGATAATACTTTTGTGCCTTAAAAAAAAAAAAAGCTTTATTGGGGTGCATTTACATATCATAAAATTCACCCATTTAAAAAATGGGCGAGTCTTCTTTTCTCTAATTTTTTTCACCAATAGCCTTGATAGTGTTTTTCTGTTGTAACAATGGGCTTCCCTGGTGGCACTAGTGGTAAAGAACCCGCCTGCCCACGCAGGAGACAGAGAGCTGCGGGTAAGATCCCTGGGTCGGAAAATCCACCGCCTGGAGGAGGGAATGGCAACTCACTACTGCCTCGAGAGTCCCAAGGACAGAGGAGCCTGGCGGGCCACAGTCCACAGAGTGGGAGAGTCGGGTACGGCTGAGCGACTCAGCATATAATGGGGAACCGGGTTTGCTTTTTCTGTCTCATTTCTACTAAGACATCTGCTAAGCCAAGATTTTTTCCTGTGTGCCTCTAACAAGAGGAGAAGGCACTCCCTTTTCTAGGAGTCAGCAGGATTCAGAATTCATATTCAGTTTTTTCCCTCTGGTTCAATTCGAAACCCAAATCTCACCCAAGACCCTGCACCGTTCCCCAGTGGCCCTGTGACTCCCACCAGCCTCCCGGGCTGCGTCCCTGTGACCTGTGACCGTGTTGGGTGGGACATGGATGCCTGCTCAGGGCCAGCTGTCAGCTCCACAGCCCTGTCTGGGCCGTGTTATTTCTTCTGTAATAAAGTCCACCTGGCAGGAGGAGACCGTTTACGGTGCCTCCATTTTTGGTCTGCACGTCTTATCATCCTGTGGCATGTTATACACCAGAAGTGGGAACTGATTCCTAGAAAGAAACATCAACCCCAAAGTCTGTAGGAGCAGGAGAGCCTGCTGGCAGAGGACAGGTGCCCCGAGGCCACATTGAGAGTGCTGCCACCAACACACCGCCAGGAGGGTGTGGAGGCTGGGCGCACACGTACATCTGGGCTACGCGGGCCTTGCCAGCCTTCACTCGGCAAAGGAAATTTTCTCATACGACCTTGCTGTAGAAAGGGGAAGAAAAGGAGAGGAAAAAGACAGTGGGACAGAGAGAGCTGGGGGGTGAGGGGCGGGGGTAGGGGGAGACTTCTGGGAACAGCCCCACCCCAGGCGTCAGCCAGGGCTCGGGCCGGGGAAAGTGGTGTTTGCAGAGGACCGTGCTGTGGGGCCAGGCCTGCCACCCTTCCACGGAGCGATGCCCTCTGAAAGTGGAACACCCAGCAGCAGCTTGAAAACCACTTAATTCCAATTCCCGAGGCCGGTGCTCCAAATACAGCCCCTCCTGCCGGCTCCCTGCCCTGGGCCCCCAGCTCTGCACCCGACTCGGACCAGCCTTGGCCTCGGGGACCCGGGGAACACCCACAGGGCCCCTCGCAATGTTGCTTCTTTCACCCGTGCCTTAATTGGCACGCCAAACTGTTGTTTAGTCGCTCAGTTGTGTCCGACTCTTTGCATCTCCAGGGACTCTAGCCCACCAGGATCTCCCAGGCAAGAATACTGGAGTGGGTAGCTATTCCCTTCTCCAGGGGATCTTCCTGACCCAGGGATCAAACCCACGGCTCCTGCATTGCAGGCGGATTCTTTACCACTGAGCTACCCAGGAAGCACCGTGAGTGGCAAATTGCTAATCCTTTCCACAAACTTCAAACTATAACCCAGAGAAGCACCTTCAATTAGAGGTGAAAAGTTACAAACCACACAATTGCGAAACCGTGAAGGCGCTGGGGAGAGAAGGGTCTAGGATCACGGGTTCACGGTGGAGTTCACTTGGGAGCCAGCCGTGGGTCCCCAAGCAGAGTACACGAGGGTGGTTAATGCTTCTCAAAGCTAGTACCACCCCCCACCCCCCAGCTGAGGCGGGGTGTCCCAAGTGCTGACATGTAATACACATTGTATGTTTTCTAAATGCGAGATTGTTCCCACTTAAAGGATGGTCCTGTTTTCAGAGCTGACACCCTTCAGCTCTGTTTTAGAGAGTGTTGAAATGGCAGAAGCAGCTTCCTTTTTACTGACGTCCCTGCTGGAACAAAGTGTTGGCCCAGAGTCTGTGGCTACCCACCTGCTTCGTTTTCTGTTAAGTCTGAGAGCTGCACCCCTAAAACCCCGAGCCTGGTATCTACAGAACTGTCTTTCAACAGCATCCACTGGAAACGTGATGGTAAAAAGAAGTTCCCCACCCCTTGGCCCCACATGGTGGGCCACCAGCATTTTAAGCATGTCAAGCCCCAGACGCATGCAGGCTCCTGAGAAAATGGGGCAGACGCCGAAACCACAGAAGTCGATCACGTTTCCTCTTGGAGGCACCGCTGACCACCTTTTCTTATTGGTCAGTGGTCGGCCCTCAAGGGAAAAGGGTGGCCTCAAAGGTCTGCTCACCGCACCGGAGATGGGCCGCGGTCCCAGCCCTTGTGGGGGCAGGCCCCGGCCTCCCAGCCTCCGGCTTTGATGAATAAGCTGGAAGATGGGGCTGTTCCCTTGTTCTCCGGACCTTCGTTTCCTCCTCACGAGCTCGAGAGCTCTGACCTAGATGGTCCTTTCGAGAGCTCCTTCCAAACTGAGCACCGTCACTTCATGCTGACATGAAGTTTAGAGGGGAATCTAAGTTTAGCGGGGAATCCAAGGCCTTAAGAAGAAAAGGGGCCTCCGAGGAAAGCCTCGTGAGCTTGCTCTGCACAACGACAGGGTCGCGCCTGAAAGTCTGCTGCCGGCGGATAAACACCTGCTTTGCTTTGATGGAGTTTGGGGGCCACATGTGTAGGTTTGTGTGTGTGGCTCTTTATGAAAGGATTCAGTTCTGAGGCCTTAGCACGTTTCTCAGTTTTTTCCTACCGCTATAAATGACACCACCCTTATGGCAGAAAGTGAAGAACTTAAGAGCCTCTTGATTAAAGTAAAACAGGACAGTGAAAAAGTTGGCTTAAAGCTCAACGTTCAGAAAACTAAGATCAGGGCATCTGGTCCCATCACTTCATGGCAAACAGATGGGGAAACAGTGGCTGACTTTATTTTTCTGGGCTCCAAAATCACTGCAGATGGTGATTGCAGCCATGAAATTAAAAGACGCTTACTCCTTGAAAGGAAAGTTATGACCAACCTAGACAGCATATTAAAAAGCAGAGACATTACTTTGTCAACAAAGGCCTCTCTAGTCAAGGGTATGGTTTCTCCAGTAGTCATGTATGGATGTGAGAGTTGGACTATAAAGAAATCTGAGCGCTGAAGAATTGATGCTTTTGAACTGTGGTGCTGGAGAAGACTCTTGAGAGTCCCTTGGACTGCAAGGAGATCCAACCAGTCCATCCTAAAGGAGATCAGTCCTGGGTGTTCATTGGGAGGACTGATGCTGAAGCTGAAACTCCAATACTTTGGCCACCTGATGCGAAGAACTGACTCATTTGAAAAGACCCTGATGCTGGCAAAGATTGAGGGCAGGAGGAGAAGGGGATGACAGAGGATGAGATGGTTGGATGGCATCACTGGCTCAATGGACATGAGTTTGGGTAAACTCCAGGAGTTGGTGATGGACGGGGAGGCCTGACATGCTGCCATCCATGGGGTCACAGAGTCGGACACGACTGAGCAGCTGAACTGACTAAACCAGAAAGTAGCACAAGGAAAATTCTGCCTCGTGCAGGAAGCCCGAGGGAAGGAATTTCTGCCATCTTGTGTTTCTCTGTCCGAGCCCAGGCCGGCATGAGCACAGATCATCGGAAACGCAGCATCTCACCACTAACAAGCGTCAGGCAATGTGTTTCCACCCATGGGCCCTCAGCCCATCGACATCAACAGCAGTGTCCCAGAAACACATGTTTCTGGTTCCCCCTCAAACCTCCTAAGACCCCAAGACTGAGGCCCAGGAGTCTGCCAGTTCCATGCTCTGCGGGCAGGCCAACCAGCCTCTCCTGAGCATTCATGAGAGAACAGACAGGTCTGCCTGTAAATCCTCCCGGAAGGAGACTAAAGGCAGCTCGGAGAGAAGGGTCCACAGGCATTGCTGGAAAAGCTCGTCCTTAGGAACAGAGACGCGACTTCCTGCCACGAGAATATAGCGCCATGATCTGGATTCCAAAAACCGAGCACATTTCTATGAGCGTCTCTTTCATCTGATGGTGGAGATGTGCGAGTCTTTTAGACCGAAATCGTAACACGTTCTCAAAGGTAGGATTAAAATTCCTGTTCAGCGATAGTGCAGATCCCCTTGAAGTTCTGTATGACCATCTTCTCTTGAGCCGTGGGGCAGAAAAGACACAAATGTTAGCCAGTCCATATTCATGGACTTTGGTGAAGGGAAATCAGAGGCCTATGGAATGTATCTGATTCTAGATAACGAGCTGGTTTGGGTTCCAAATGGATGACAGATTCAAAAGGATGTTTTTTCCTCTGCCTGAAAATGCCTCCCTCACCAGGTGGAAGCTAAACTTTTCTCCTGCGTAAGAACGAGCAGTCAGGGCAATAATGATTACGTTTCCCTCTGCCTCTGCATGTCTGTCTGGGGGGAAACCACTGAAAAGACGAGGCCTTGCTAAGAGGACAGAAGAATGGGGGGCGATCGGAGATGCTGTGGAGGTGGGGGGGGGCAGGCGCCAGGACACAGACAGGCGTCCGGGGGCTGAGGAGGGGTGATGGGATGGGCACAGCACAGATCAAACCTGGCCCACAAGGGCCAGGATGAACCTTGTGGGCCTTCGTCCTGCTTGTGTTGGTGATGTTTTGGGACCAGACACGCTCCCTAACTGGACTCAGCCATCACTGCCGTAGAGAACACCCGTACACCCAAGAATATTCTGCCTTGGGACCAGTGGCAGGAAAATGGACAAGGGCTCCTGGGACCATTACTTCCTTTTTTGTTTTTTTGTCCACTACACTCATAATATAGTTCCATTCTTTCTGTGAAGCACCCTTTTAAAAATATTTTGCAAGTTCTTTTCCCTATTGCCTGAGCTTCCCTGGTGGCTCAGATGGTAAAATCGTCAGCCTGCAATGCGGGACACCCAGGTTCGATCCCTGGGTCGGGAAGATCCCCTGGAAAAGGAAATGGCAACCCACTCCAGTACTCCTGCCTGGAGAATCCCATGGATGGAGGAACCTTATAGTCTACAGTCCATGGGGTCGCAAAGAGTTGGACACAATTGAGCGACTTCGCTTTCACTTTTCCCTGTTGCCAAGTAGAGCGTTAGACCCTACTGACTATCATTATCTGGGGTGGTTGTTATCTGGGGCATGAGGTCTCCCCCACGGGAAAGGTTCAGCTACCTCTATAAACTCCCAAAGGCCCCCAGCACCCACAACTGCTGCCTGGAAGGGAGCCTTGGACAGCATGGAGCTGGCCCTGAGCACTGACCTTCTCCTGGTAGAGTTTGTGCAGCCAGGCCGCACACTTGTCCTCCTCCTCCGGGACTTCTTCTAGAGGAATCCGCCTGCAAGGTAGAGAGTGGCTAGCAAGGGGGAGGCCCACACCAGCTGCCCAAAACACTGGTTCAAACTAACAGTGTGCCTGATTCAACAACTCAGACCCGTCAAGGAGGACACCTGCCTCTCCACGCTCCCTAGCCTGGACTATAACACATAAGTGAGATGCTGCTAAAGTGGTCTCCATTTGCTTCTAGGCCTCTTTGTAAGCTCTAGAATGCTTGTATCTGGGTCCATTTCTATGGAGCAGATACACCCTCCAAGAAAAGGGTTCAATAAAATAAACTCTCACACTCAGTCTCAAAAATGACTGTAAAATGCTGTCTCTCATGTGTTCAGACCCGAGCTCTTTGATGAGAGAGAGTCAGAGAGTGGCTGGGGAGAAGAGAGGCTTCACCTAATTATTTACAGCAGAGCATGAGTCTCTCGACATAAACAGGACTGTGAACAGATTCCATTCAATGCCGACTGCAGACACGAAATTGTTAGCACACTCCCCCGGGAGAAGGTCTGCGGGTCGTTTGTGACTTATTTGTTTTGGGATGGGCATTCCATTTTCTGGAAAGGAAATGAAGCCGACTTACCTAACGTATAAATCTGCATGATATTTCTTGCCATTGAGGACTCCCAGCAGGGTTGGATTTTCATTGTTTCTGAAATTGAGTGTACAGTCATATACAGCTGAAACTATAAAAAATAAAACAAATACAAAGCAGGATAGAGCGTGTGAACCCAGTTCCATTTTGTAGATATACATACTGGAAAACAAGAATCAAACTGCTGGCTGATTATCGGGGAATGAAGGGACTATGGTTTCTTCTCGACACTTTTCTATATTGTCCAAGCGCTCTACATTGAATACATATCACGTTCCATCATCAGAAAAGCACACTATAACTTAGAAAACACTTATTATTGAGGTCTTATCAATTTAAAGCAGAGCTACAACAGCACATCTAGGTGTGCTACAACAGATATGTAAACAAATATTAATAGATAAAGCAATCCAAAGAATGCGGTCTATGGAGGTCTCTGAGTCATGGCAATGTAACCATTCTAGCCCCTAGAAAAATATGATCATTATAAAAGGAGAATAAGATACTAGAGACTTCCTAAGGAACTGAAATATGGTGTGGTCAGTTGACGCATGGCTGGGAAACAAACAAGATTGTGTGATTTTAATGTCTACCCAGTGGTGAGTTAACCTGTCAATATACCGAAAGGGGGCAAGAGGATGAGATGGTTGGATGGCATCACGGACTCGGTGCTTGTTAGTCTGAGCAAACTCCGAGATGGTGAAGGACAGGGAAGCCTGGCCTGCTGCCATCCCTGGCGTTGCAAAGAGACGGACACACGACTGAGCAACTGAACGATGAACAACAAATATGGAAGTTATGTCAACACCCACCGCTGCAGCCCCAGGGCCCGGCCCAGACTTCATGAATCCTTCTTGGATGGCAGGAGGCCCGAAGGAACAGTGAGGGGAGAGCAGGGTGGAAATGCGGAGTGGAAACAGATGGCCCTTCCTACGCGGTCGGTAAGACAGGACCGGGCAGTGGAAAGAGCAGGAGTTTTGCAGTCAGTCTGGGTGTGAGCCCCAGGACCACCTGTTCCCAGCTGTGGGATCTCCTCCCGGACAGTCCACTCGGCCTCCCTGAGCCTCGTTCTCCTGGAGAACGGAGGTGACTCAGGGCAATGAACGTCAGCGCCTCCCAAAGGGCCCAGCACGCTGTGCTCGGCAGACTTGAGCGAGAGCCCTGCGCACCGGCGCTACCTCCAAAAGAGCAAGCGGCGGATGGGCGGGTACAGTCACATGGTCTGTCTGTTTGCTTCTGATTGGCTGCCCGGCCACCACGTGGGGGCGCCCGGCAGCTGGACCACATCTTAGCCAAAGGGGAGAGGGGCCCTCCCGCTGACCTGAAGGGCTGCAGGCAGGCAGCTCCCCAACCCCGCAACCCAAGCAACGAGACCACTCCCCTGTCCTCCCAGGCGGGGAGAAGCAGTCCCCCCGCCCCGCCCCGCCCCCAGGAAGAGAAAGGCTGGTGGAGAATAAGCTCGCGGATACATCGCCCAGCCATTGTAAACCCAGGATGAATGACCCAGAACGAAAACCCTTCAGGCTGCAGAACCCCAGGGTGTGAGGGTTCATGCTGGGTCAGGGCGTTTCAAAACACACCTCCTTTCTTCAGGCCGCTCTGACATAGGAGCCTGAAGCTTGCCACGGAGGTGGGGGTCCCTTCGATTAATCAAGGATGGGGGACAGCCCCCAGGGAGTGCCCCAGAGAAGAGCCTAAATCTGCAGGGTTCCCTCCTTTTCCAGAAAGGAAACCCCAGGTCTTAAAGTGACAGAACCAGGCCGGGCACTCGACCCATGTGCCTGCAGAGCCTAGGAGACGGAGCGTCTGGCCCCGCCCACCAGACCGCCTGGGTGCGACCCCGGCCCACCGTGTAACGGTGGAGCTGCTTGGGATGAGTTCCCCCATCCTTCAGCCCCAACTTCCCCATCTGCGAATTGGAGGTCAAAACGTGTTTCCTTCGCTGCATCCGGCGGCCACACGCTCTGGCCATGCTGCGTGTGTGAGATGCTTGTGCTGCTGGGGTGTGAGAAGTGCCTGCTATCACCCATCGTCATTATTACTATCCAGGGGAGTGGGACAGCCTCTGGGCAGCCTGGCCCCTTCCGGCTGTAGGCAAAGCTCAGCCGGGAAATCGGAACCGGAAGCTCGACACCCCCACCTGGAAGAGAAGGCGAGCGGTGAAGGGAACAGCAGAGGGCCCCGAGCCAGAGCGTGTTTGATGAGATGTTTACGACGTGCCAGCCCTGATGCTGAGCTGCCCATGTGTATTCTCTCCTTAAGCCTGCTCCTAACCCTGGGAAGTTTACAGAAGAGCGAACGGAGGATCCAAGGGGTGAGGTGACCTGCCCCGGATGGCACAGCTGGCGAGGGGAGGAGCCAGCCCCGGCCCCAGGCCTCCTGACCCTGCGATGGAGCAGGTGCCAGGAGACGCGTCTGCGAGACGGAGCGGCCCCGGCGTTCCTGTGCTGGCTGCTGCACTTCAGCGGGGAGCAGCAGGGAGGTAGCTGACAGGGAGGGTCTAGGCCTCGGGGTGACGCCAGAGCAAACCGAGTCTGCAGGCAGACAGCTGGGGCCCCTCTGAGGCCCGGCTCCCAGAGGGGAGGGGAGACGGGCCACTCCCGGCAGGTCCTCGGTGCTGGGAGCTACTGAGTCCAGGACCAGCGGTCCCTTCCTCTCCCCGGAGTGGCGGCGGGTTGCCTGCGTGATGTGAAGGCGAGAGGTGGTGATGCAGGTAGCAGGGGGCCAGTGAGGAGCAAGGCGGGGACCGCGGGTAGGAGGGAAGCAGGGAGGAATCAGCGGAGGGGCCCAGGAGCGAGTCAGAGACCTTTAGGACCCGCACGTGTTGGAGTCGGTGTTGCCACTGTGTCCTCCGTGGGACCGGTCAGCGTGATCACAGAGCTCCCGGGGGTCCCCCTGCCCCCAGGCGTGGGGACAGCAGAGAAACACCGCACACCGTCCACAGCTACATCCCCGCCCCCCATCCCCGATGGAGGCTGGGGAGGAGGTGGGGGCCTCCGCCTCACCAGGCGATGTGGCTGGGGTTCCGGGGTGTAGAGACGGTGTGGGGGTCACCAGGGTGGGGTGGGGGTTGGGGGACCTGGGTGAAGTGGGGAGATCCCCCAGTTCCTGCCTCCTGAGAGACGAGGGACAAGGCAGTGGGGCCTCCAGAGCAGCCGCACGGGAGAAAAGGGTAAAAACTCGTGCTTCCAAACCCGAGGGAGGAGGGTTCAACCGGAGACCAGTCCAGCAAGCTGGTTTTGTGGCTACTCGCCTCTCGCCCTTGCCTAGCGTAATTCAGGGCTCTGGACTCGGGACCAGCCGGATAGACGACAAGGGCACAGAGATCATTGTCGGGGGCGGGGGCAGCTGGTGCCACAGATGGGCAAGAAATGCCACACAAGGCAAAACCACCCCAAAAACCTGGGTTGACCTGGCTGGCGCGGGGCCCGGGGGCTGGGGGGAGAAACTCAGTGCCGCCTGCAGTACCGGTGCTGAGCAGCAGAGGGCAGGGTTGAGCTGGCATGCACAGGGTGCGTGTGCACGTGGTGTGTTCACAGTGGTGTGTGTGCGCACATGATGTGTGTGTGTGTGTGTGTGTGTGTGTGTGTGTGTGTGTGTGCAGGGCTGTGGCCACTCGTCCGACGCCGGGAGCCTGGACCCAGGCTAACCAGAGGTGACCTGCCAGCCTCCGTCCCTGGCTCCCCTCTGGGTGCTGGGGTCCCTTTCCCTGGCTGCAGGGGGCCCCGCGGGGTCATCCTTACCTACATTTCTCAAACTCCTCACGGTCACCGCGAAGCCTTTGGTGCGAGGCAGCAGGTGGTGCTTGAGGCTGGGCAGCCCCTTGGCCTGGGCCACCTGCATGCTGATCTGGTGTTTCTTCTCCGTGAACCGCGTGCCCTCGCAGTGAATCAGGAACTGAAGGGGACAGGACGGCCGTCACACACATCCCCGTGGCCGCTCAGAGAGCTGTGAGGTCACACACTCAACCCCGAGTTCACACACCCAGCCCCAAGGTCACATACACAGCCCTGAGGTCACACGCCCAGCCCCGAGGTCACACGCTCAGCCCCGAGGTCACACAGACAGCGCTGAGATCACACGCCCAGCCCCAAGGTCACATACACAGCCCTGAGGTCACACGCCCAGCCCTGAGGTCACACACTCAGCCCCAGGGTCACACGCCCAGCCCCGAGGTCACACGCTCAGCCCCAGGGTCACACGATCATTCCCGAGGTCACACATACAGCGCTGAGATCACACGCCCAGCCCCGAGGTCACACGCTCAGCCCCGAGGTCACACGCTCAGCCCCGAGGTCACACGATCATTCCCGAGGTCACACATACAGCGCTGAGATCACACGCCCAGCCCCGAGGTCACACGCTCAGCCCCAGGGTCACACGATCATTCCCGAGGTCACACATACAGTGCTGAGATCACACGCCCAGCCCCGAGGTCACACGCTCAGCCCTGAGGTCACACGATCATTCCCGAGGTCACACATACAGCGCTGAGATCACACGCCCAGCGCCAAGGTCACATACACAGCCCTGAGGTCACACGCCCAGCCCTGAGGTCACACGCCCAGCCCTGAGGTCACACACTCAGCCCCAGGGTCACACGCCCAGCCCCGAGGTCACATGAGGTCCCAGGGTCACACGCACCATCTCCCAGCACAAGCCACAGTCACACATGGCCCCACAGGAGCCTGAGGAAGTGACCAGGGCAGGGGTGGTCTGACAGCTGAGCCTGCCTCCCCTCAGGGCGTGACCTCTGGCCCTCACGTCTACCCTGTTCAAGAGTCTCTGAGCTTTGAAGAGAGAGGCTTTGTGTTTGCAGAGTCTCGGGAAGCAGAGGGGTGAGTGTGTGTGTGTGACCAGGGCACTCTGAGCGTGTGTGAGTGTGACCTGGGCTCCCTGAGCATGTGTGAGACGATCACCCTGAGCGTGTGTGAGTGTGAACAGGGCTCCCCAAGCGTGTGTGAGTGTGACCTGGGTGCCCAGAGAGTGTGACCCAGGTGCCCCGAGTGTGTGTGTGACGATCACCCCGAGCGTGTGTGAGTGTGACCTGGGCTCCCTGAGCATGTGTGTGACGATCACCCTGAGCGTGTGTGAGTGTGAACAGGGCTCCCCGAGCATGTGTGAGTGTGACCTGGGTGGCCAGAGAGTGTGACCCAGGCGCCCCGAGTGTGTGTGTGACGATCACCCCGAGCGTGTGTGAGTGTGACCTGGGCTCCCTGAGCATGTGTGTGACGATCACCCTGAGCGTGTGTGAGTGTGAACAGGGCTCCCCAAGCGTGTGTGTGACCTGGGTGCCCAGACAGTGTGACCCAGGTGCCCCAAGTGTGTGTGTGATGATCACCCTGAGCGTGTGTGAGTGTGACCTGGGCTCCCTGAGCATGTGTGTGACGATCACCCTGAGCGTGTGTGAGTGTGACCTGGGCTCCCTGAGCATGTGTGTGACGATCACCCCGAGCGTGTGCAAGTCTGACCGGGGCTCCCCGAGCGTGTGTGAGTGTGACCGGACGCCCCGCGGGCCGGCGCGCGTACGAAGTACTTCTCGGGGTAGTCGCGCAGGTGCAGGAGGCTCTCGGAGACGGTCTTGCGGTCCTGCTCCCATTTGCGCGTGCAGAAGACCATCTCGGTGAAGTACCACATCCAGCCGATGATGGGGACGCAGGCCAGCTCCTTCTTGGCCAGGACCTTGGAGCCCTGAAACAGAGGGGGCCCGGGCGTCTGTGGAAAGGGGCGTGAGGCCCTCCCCTGGGACAGCCAGGGAGCTCCCGAGAAAGAAGAGTGGCCGTGCACTCCAGGCCCACAGAGACAGCTCCCCAAGACACGGAGGCAGGGAGCCTCTGACCTGGAGCCAAACGCCCACTGGTCAGCTGCAGGGCCATGCCCGCCTTGCCCCACGAGTGAGGGGGCAAGGGCCAGGCTCTCCAGGGCAGGGCCAGGCTCTCCAGGGCGGGGACAGGCTCTCCAGGGCAGGGCCAGGCTCTCCAGGGCAGGGCCAGGCTCTCCAGGGGGAGGACAGACTCTCCAGGGCAGGGCCAGGCTCTCCAGGGGGAGGACAGACTCTCCAGGGCAGGGACAGGCTCTCCAGGGCAGGGCCAGGCTCTCCAGGGGGAGGACAGACTCTCCAGGGCAGGGACAGGCTCTCCAGGGCAGGGCCAGGCTCTCCAGGGCAGGGCCAGGCTCTCCAGGGGGAGGACAGACTCTCCACGGCAGGGCCAGGCTCTCCAGGGCAGGGCCAGGCTCTCCAGGGGGAGGACAGACTCTCCAGGGCAGGGCCAGGCTCTCCAGGGCAGGGCCAGGCTCTCCAGGGGGAGGACAGACTCTCCAGGGCAGGGACAGGCTCTCCAGGGCAGGGCCAGGCTCTCCAGGGCAGGGCGAGGCTCTCCAGGGCGGGGACAGGCTCTCCAGGGGGAGGACAGACTCTCCAGGGCGGGGACAGGCTCTCTGGGGGGAGGACAGACTCTCTGGGGGGAGGACAGGCTCTCCATGGGGAGTGGAGGCTCTCTATGCGGAGGGGAGGCTCTCCAGTGGGGGACAGGCTCTCTATGGGGAGGACAGACTCTCTAGGGGGAGGACAGGCTCTCTATGGGGAGTGGAGGCTCTCTGGTGGGGGACAGGCTCTCTATGGGGAGGACAGACTCTCTGGGGGGAGGACAGGCTCTCTATGGGGAGTGGAGGCTATGCAGAGGGGAGGTTCTCCAGTGGAGGACAGGCTCTCTATGGGGAGGGGAGGCTCTCTGGTGGGGGGACAGGCTCTCTATGGGGAGGGGAGGCTCTCTGGCGGGCGGCCAGGCTCTCCATGGGGAGTGGAGGCTCTCTATGCGGAGGGGAGGCTCTCCAGTGGAGGACAGGCTCTCTATGGGGAGGGGAGGCTCTCCAGTGGAGGACAGGTTCTCTATGGGGAGGGGAGGCTCTCCGGTGGGGGACAGGCTCTCTATGGGGAGGGGAGGCTCTCTGGTGGAGGACAGGCTCTCTATGGGGAGGGGAGGCTCTCTGGTGGGGGGACAGGCTCTGTATGGGGAGGGGAGGCACCGGGAGCGGTCGGGAACCTCTGGGGTCGGGGGTGCTGCGTCATCCTTCACCAGCTCACGCGGGTGCCCACCCCCAGCTGTGCTCTGCCTCGCACACCTCCCCGGTCCTGAGCGCCCTTGCTGGCTCTGTGGGTGGGAGGGACACTACTCTCCTTACAGATCAAGGACTGCGGCCCAGCGGGGTCTCTGGGTCGGACGCTAGGAAACCAGGAGGTGAACTCGGATCCATAGGGCCACTGGGCGCACTCCACGAGTGCCCTCGCCAGAGCCTCACCAAGGCTGCAGGCCCCCAACAGGCAAGGATCTGGTGGGGTGGAAGGGGCAGGGGAAACACAAGATCAGCTTTGGATCTGATAGACCAGGTTCTACATTTTTCGCCTCTAAGGTTGGAATTAACAAAGATGCTCCTAGAAAACAGCTGTTATCCATCAATGGCAGAGATGATGGAGGCAGTGATGCAGACTGGCGGTGGCCTGAGCTGTGCTCCAGGTGACAAGTGTCTGACTCTGCCCCTCCTATGAGTCCCGAATAAAGAACGATACTTCAGCACAAGCCCTTCTCTTCCTCAACACTCCCGTGACAACTGCGAAGCTCAGCAGAGAGGCCATCCCCCGACCCACCCACGAGAGCCACAAGAAAGGTGTAAACAGCTACCTGCTCCCTTGACCTTAGAAAAATAACACATATTTTAAAGAAGACTAGTCTTGAATAATCACTGGAAGGACTGATGCTGAAGCTGAAGCTCCAATACTTTGGCCACCTGATACAAAGAACTGAGTCATTGGAAAAGACTCTGATGCCGGGAAAGGTTGAAGGCAGGAGGAGAAGGGGACGACAGAGGATGAGATGGTTGGATGGCATCACCGACTCAGTGGACATTAGTCTGAGCAAGCTCCGGGAGTTGGTGATGGACAGGGAGGCCTGGTGTGCTGCAGTCCATGCGGTCACAAAGAGTCAGACACGACTGAACAACTGAACTGAACTGATTTTCTCCTTTGGGAGAAGAAAAAGCAAAGCTACCTCTCAGGTGGAGCCTCGCCACATCTTGACTTTGGTTTTGGCTTTCCCACACACAGATTTCCACACCTGCAAATCCCCTAGAAAAGAATCAAGCCTGAGGCATCCCCTGGCGGTCCAAGGGTTAGGACTCCAAGCTCCAAACGCGAGGGGCAAGCGTTTGGAAAGAACCACGCCATAGGATCCAAGGGCCTGCCCCAGAGGACCAGAGGCAGGTCCCCTTGGGTGGGAGCACTCGCTGGCAGAGGGCTGAGGGCTCACAGGGTGCCGGGCACAGAGGTCACACTCTCTCTGGCTCACCACGCTCCTCATGGAAACCAGCTAAAGCCCAGCCCTGGTCCACGGGTGGGTCTCAGGCCCTGGGAGGCCCCCTCCTGTCAGCATGGTTGTTCTCAAGGTCCCTGCGCACAGCCCAGAAGATGGAAATAAAACACCCTCACGATGAACTGAACGTACCTTCTTGGCAGGTTAGGATTATTTAGAAAATTACTTATTCCTGAACTCTTTTCAATGGTAATCTGTGGCGACTTGAAGGACTTACAAACGTGATCTATCCTATAGCCAAGAGTGTGTGTGTGCGCGCTTAGTCACTTCAGTCGTGTCTGACTCTTTGCCTCCCCATGGACTGGAGCCCACCAGGCTCCTCTGTCCATGGGATTCTCCAGGTAAGAACGCTGGAGTGGATTGCCATGCCCTCCCTCCAGGGGATCCTCCCAACCCAGGGGTTGAAACTGCAGCTCCTGCATTGCAGGTGTATTCTTTACCGCTGAGCCACTTGGGGACGCCCACAGACAAGAGAGGGATCATATACTCCAGAGCAGCAGCCGTGAGGTCTGGAGAAAGATCCCGTGTAGTCGATCACAGCTGTCTGCTGGGGACGGGTACCCTCGGGGGAATTTCCTATTACTGGAAATTAACCATACCTCAATTTTTAAAAATTAAAGACTTCTATGAATTATGTTGTATATGACATATCATACCAAACAAAGGTAGTCAGTGGCCCAAATCTGCTCTGCCACCTGGTTTTATAAAGTTTTATTGGGACACAGCCGCGCTCACATACACGTTGCCTACTGCCAGGAACATGGCTGCTTCCATGCTCCAGCCGCTGAGCTGAAAAATCATGATGGAGGCTACATGGCCCACGAAGCCTAAAATATTCAGTTTGAATAATTACATACTCAGTTCATCAACACTCTTGATTTATAGCTGATGAAATTTGTTTTCTATGAATATTTAATGGCTGGGAAAATGAAGACTAACTTTTTTTTTCTAAAAATCTAGACTCAAAGCTGAGTTAATAGTCTGACTGTTCGAAAAATGGTAAAAGCAGAGAAAAATAACAGTAACTATTGCTGGGTAGTGAGACTAGAAGGGACTTTAAAATTTTGTTAGATTCTCCTGCTTTTCAATCAGAAAACGACTTTGCAGGGTCCCCTAACAGTGCCCTTTTTAGGCAATGGTTGACATCAGCACATCTTTAGCCCTTTGCTTCTGGCGCATGAGGCTCCGGATCAAAAACAGTCTGGTTATTTTTCATGAGAAACGGAACCGAGGAGGCATTTCTGATTTTATGCTGAATTAGTCCATCTTTCAGCCTTAAAACTCTGGATGTTATCGTGAGGCCTAGGCCTTGATGTGGGTCCTGTTTCCTTGGTGGGCCTCAGCTTTCCTGGCTATATTATGAGCAAAGTCATGCTGAACTGAAAGCGTTGCCGTAAAGATCTAATGTTACATGGAAACACACGCAAAAAGCTCCTCATTGAGAACAGGACACACAGGTGTTCAATAACGCGTAGCTATCATCGTCACCACCAAGCGGGCACGGCAGCTGAATGTCCCTTTTAACTCAACCCATTTCTTAAGCCAGGCTTGGAGTGCAGTAATAACAATAATTATACTCAGAGCACTCACCGATAGGCCCTGGGCCAGGAGATTCGCAGGAGCCAACTCGTTTATGACCAAAAGACTAGAAACGTGTACTATTTAAATATGCTACAGTCCTCCAGGACACTTGATACGCTATCAGTGACATGGCTCCCCCCCACAGGCCAAGCAAAGGTTTCTATGCCTTTAGGAGAGAAGGTACGAGAAAATATACATCTGACTTTGACCCATTAAAGAAAAGCCAGAGAATTTTGTTTAATAAAAAAGAAGACTTGGAGTGTCTAACTTGGGACTATACTTCAAAAGTAAAGGGCATGCTACCACTTCCAGGAATACACTTGGTTATGAGCTCAAGGAAAAAAAAAAATGAAAAAGGGCTTCCCAGGTGGCTCAGATGGTAAAGAATCCACCTGCAATGCAGGAGACCTGGGTTCGATTCCTGAGTCAGGAAGATCCCCTGGAGAATGGAATGGCAACCCACTCCAGAATTCTTGCCTGGAGAATCCCAGGGACAGAGGAGCCTGGCGGGCTATAGCCCATGGGATTGCACCGAGTCAGACATGATTGAGCGACTAACACTATTTTTTTATGAGCTCAAGAGGCATCATTACTGCCTAGAGACTCCTTACCATGCTAACTATTCTCCCAGCGCCCAGGATTGGAAGGGATTTCACCTCGCCCCGACTCTCTCGGTGTCCTTATCTGTGTCATCCGGACCCCAGCCAGCCTGGCCCAGCTGGAGAACACGCAGAGGCAGAAGGT